AAGACCGCGCTTGGGCTACAGATCTCACCACCAAGACGGAGAAGAACGGTCGCACTCAGGTGACTGGATCCAAGGGTTTGAAGGGATCCCAAACATACCCATCTGAGTTTGGGTTGGCTACTGTCAGCATCTGGCGTCGAACAGCTTTCAAGGCCTATGACATGGAGGGTGCAAAGCTCCCAAATGTGTGGCCCAAGTCTCTAAAGGATGCTTGGCCTGATGCCAATTTGACGGAAGTGATGCAATATCTTTCTCTTGGCACTTTCAACGTGTGACCAAACACGTATGCTGTTGTGCTCAATTTGTTGGTGTGGCCTGAACCACACCACACCCTAATCGAACAACTGTGGGCGCTAGGCTCGAAAAAAGGAACGTAAACATGGGTGGATGGGCTGAATGCAAATCAGTGTCCCAAATCAGTGTCCCACATACATCTTCATAATTCTTCATATATACATCTTCCGTTGTGAATTGAACTGGTGCCTGGTGCAAATCAACTTACATAGTTTAGATAGTTTCCTTTCATTCATGCCACCAACACCTCCCTCCCCCTTGTCCGATTCTCTTCAGGTCCCCGTAGCCATGTCCAGCTAGAATCCGCCAGGTGTGGCCTGAGCATGAAGAGATCAAGAGCTTTATTGCTGGAAGATTGTGGGCGACAAGGCGTCCTGCGATGGGGTTGGGGGGTGGTCTCAAAAAACAAGCCTGGATGCCTTTGGTAATTAAATTTTCTAAAAGCACGAAAGGCCGTGAAAACTCCGTGAAACGGCCGTGAAAACTCGTGAACATTCACACTTCACCTATATGCCCTGGATTTGATTACATGCACTGGATTTGATTGCATGCCTTTGGTAATTAAATTTTCTAAAAACACGAAAGGCCGTGAAAACTCTGTGAAAAGGCCGTTACTACTCGTGAACATTCACACTTCACCTATATGTTCATTCCTTGATCTTGCGCAGCCGTTTTTGTATCTGTGAACTGCCGTGGAAGGAGCTGGAGGGAGAGGTGGAAAAGAGCGTTGAAACTGGGGGTCGGCTTGTCGTGTGTGAACAATTAAAGGCTGTGAAGGTTGGCCAGAATGTCCGTTGCTTGCTGGAGCAGGCGATGGAGCTGGGTAAGGGCAATAGTAGTGCGATGGAGTAGTCGAGCTTGATCTGCGCTGGAATGCATCGTGAGGGAAAGCGTTGGGGATCAGGCAGCTGAAGCGGCAGGCGGGTGGCGCAGCGCAGGTGTCATCACTTCATGAGCGGCCGGTGCATACGATCGGATCATGCAATTGAATTACCAGCATGAATTATTGAGCATGAATTTTGCAGAACATAAAAAGGCACAATCCGAAACTGAGCTTTGATCAATGTAGAATGAAGTCACACGAAGGAGATCCGCAAACGTTCATCACGCAAGAAAAACTACGTCGCCATGAAAGTAGATCGGGCTGTCAGCAGGAAACCGAGAGTGTAACAATCGCAATCAAAATTGTGAAACTTCGATCAAAGTCGGAGAAAAATATGAACATGAAAACTGACTGTCTGTTCAATTGGTTCATGAAGGTGAGAGCAATTCCGCAAAAATTGAAACCGAGACATGTGATCGCAGCTGACTGGCGCAAAGTGGTGGGCTCCGATTTTAGCGGAGCCTGAGTTGGTGGTGGAATGTGAAACGTGTCGAAAAGCCTCTCTCAACTGTGGTGAGTTGGTGGTGGTGGTAAGGGAAGTAGTGTTGGCTGGGTGTGAGTGGTGGAGCCTCAAACGTCGGGAGGTGCGGCGTTAATGGACCACGCCAGTCCTTTGACAATGGCGTTGTGGGGGTGAATCACCCAGCAGCGTGCTTTAGCGTGGCAGACTGCGCCATGCTCTTGCTGTAAAAGGCGCATAGCTTGGGCTTCACCGCCGCTTGTGAATTTGGTCCCCCGGCCCCATGCGAGGAGGTGGAGCGTGATAGAATGGGTGTTCTTTGCTAGTTTCCATGTGTTGTGTAGTATGCGGGCTTGTTCGTAGTTGTCGTGTAGTGGCTGGTGAGTGATGCGTGTTGCCTGGGCAAAAAAGCCCGGGTTGGCGTCAAAGTGGAGGATGCTGGCCCTGCTGTAGAATGGCCGTGTGGGCCAGTGTGGCCGGCGTTGATGTGTACTGTTTCTGGGGTAGTGGAGGTGGCACGAGTGGCAGGCTGTGGTATCGGGCGAGTGGCCTTGTCAGATGTTGATACAGTGGTAGGAGAAGGAGTCATAGGTATTGGTAGCGTCATTCCACTTGACATGTGTAAGTTGTCGGAAATCGGCCAAATCATCATGGGTGAAGCCGCTGTCAGCGAGCAGTTTTGCAACGTATGCGTGTTGCGGTTTGTTCTCTGCTGCCAGCTGCACAGCATGAAAATCGAGCCACCACTCGATCTGCTCTTGGTGAGATAGTTGATGGAAGTGTGGTGGAGGTGCCTTCCAAGGTGGCTTGGGCCGTCGCAGTGCTGGGATGTTGGGAAAATCCGCCTGGAACATGTTGGTAATTTGATGGTGAGGTGTTGATTGTTGGTTGGGCCGTAGAGTGATGGGTGCATGGGAGCGGCTGCGGGAGCGGCTTTTGGAGGTTGTGGAATAAGAGGTTGAAGGGGAACGGCGGCGCCGGTGGTGTGCTGACGAAGCTTGAGTGGTTGAGGCTGCAGGTGAGTGGCGATGTCTGGTGCGCCGGTCTCGTGTGCGGCGACTGCGGTGGCGGCGACGACGTCGGCTGCGGCCTCTGCTGCGGTGGGTACGACCGGTGGTTGCAAGAGAAGCAGGTGGTGAAGGGGCAGTGCCCAAATGGCCAGATGTAGCTGCTTGAGGTTGTGTGTGTGATCTTTGGTGAGATCGTGTAGTTGGTGCTGAGGGTGCTTCTGGTGGGGGAGGTGGTGGTGGCGGTAGCGGTTGGACTGTTTTTGGCGGTGGCGCAAGGGTGGTGGATGGTGATGTGGGGAGTTGGTTGTGCTGGTGGTTGTGGTGCCGGTGGAGCTTGTGGAGGCGATGACATCGGTGATGGAAGAGGTGGAGATTGCAAAGATGGTGGATGGTGTGGAGGTTGTACTGGTATTGGTTCAAATGCCTGCAACTGAGATGGTACTGGGTAGGCGTGTGCGTGGGTCACGAAAGTTGGTGCTGGTGGAGGATGCGGCGGCAGGTGAGGTGGCCACGTAGGAGCTGGTGGTTGTGGTGAAGTGGGCTGAAACTGAGGTAAGATCGCTTGTGGTTGTTGATGAGGCAAGACAGTAGGCATAGGTGCGGTTGGTGGATGATGGTGCCATGGTGGTGGCTGGGTGTTGATGGTAGGCATTGTGGGCGCGGCACAAGGTGACGGCCATTGTGGATATGGCCAGGGATACTGCATGTGGAGAACAATGGAGAGGTCAATCCGATAGGCTGAAGGCTGCAGAAAATGGCGCCGGCGCGGCACAGCAGCTGAAGTGAAAAGTTGGAAGTACTGGTAAAGTATGGAGCCTGAGTGCATCTGCAGTGAAGAAAAGTAAGGTGAATTCGTGGCATGCAATGCAAGTCCTGCGATCTGTGAAGTGGTGCAGAGCATGTGGAAGCTGATCAAGCGGCTGCGGATTAAATATTAAAAGTTGAGAAAACGCAAAATGCACAAACCGATATCATGACCTTGCAACACCAAAGGAATTCAGAGATTCTTGTGGGAAGTCCATCGTTTATAGCCCGGCGGCTCGAAAATCCGTTAATTCAGTGATAAAAGTGATCGAACGTAAAGGCAGTTATAAAAAATGAAAGGTCGGTGATTTCCGGTATGATTTCAGCGCCTCCTTTCGGAGGGTCACACCCAGTACCCAAGTGGGAAGACTGAGCGGTCCACACTTCGACATTAGTTTTCAGTTAGACTCAATTGCCACGATGGAAAGGATGGCGGTGGAACAGCATGGCGAAAAGTCCGTGCAATTGTAGGTGTTTGAACAATGGTTGTTTCCCTTGACTGCGGTGACGAAGCGGCTCAAGCTGCACCTCTGCTGGGGAGGAAATGGTTTAGGGGAAGTATCATGCAAGAACCATGGAAGCAAAAAGTGGAAAAGTGGAGTAAACAGCTTGTTCAAAAGTTGGAGCAGGTACACAGGGATGATCAGTCCCTGCATCCTGGTCAGCTGCATAGAGCTTCGCTGGCGACAGCTATGCAGTGACCCTGTCGCCCCCTGCTTCAGTGGAAAAAGGAGGTGGGAACATGGAAAACCCTTGGAACCAGGGTGTGGCACACACACACACACACGCACATACACATGTCCTTGGAACACGCAGGGGGGTCCGGGCTTGTTCAGTCTGGCACTGTGAGCCCTTCTTGTTTACTTTGCCGCAGCCAAGGCCTATGTTGCCAGCTCCCCAGAGTGACAATCTATGTGGGTTGAGTGAATTTCTAGATCGCTTGCACCAGACTCGCAGAACAGGAGGGCCACATCCAGAAATCCATAAATTTTTGCTGGTGTGGAACCTGTGAGAGGAGTCCGCGTGCAGCAACAATGTCAATTGGTCAGGGCCACTGTCAGGAGGGTCATTCCCATGGTGACCTATTTGCCAGCCTCAGCTCTTGTGATGGTGCATATTATTCCCCTGACCAAGGTGCAAGTGCTGGCGGTTCCAGAGAACGAGGAGTGCCTGCTGGAGTGTGACAGGTTGGGGCGCTGAGGGCGGAGCACATTTGATTTGTGCCAAGCTAAGTCATTGAGAGTTGCATTGGGGGTTGTGCTGTTTCCACTATAGTTGGTAGTTGGTTCCTGATTGTCCATATATTCAACCCTCAGCTGTCAGGGTAGCTGAGGGTTGATCACTACCGAACTTTAAAGCAAACTGCGCTTTTGCCCTCAGGGGTGTTGAGTGGGGCATTTTCGTCTTTGACAACTTCATGGCACCGCTTCGGCAGGCAGCGGGTTGGCGGGGAATGCATGTTGGAAGTTATTGTAGCCAAAAGGACTGCTTGCTTTCCTGGGTAGGCTGCTTTCAAATTGCTGTTATTAGGTTGGAGGCCATTGCTTCTAGGTTGGAGGCCATTGCTATTGGGATCTATTGATTAGGTTGGAGGCGATTGCTATTAAGGGTAGACTGCTTTTGTTTTTGTCAGGGCTAGGGCGGTGCCTTTCGGTTGTCAAGAGTGTTGAAGCTTGTAAGTCTTCAGCGTTGCCCTATGACTCCTTTGTGCACTTTGCGGTCCCAGATGCACCGAACTGGCTCAAGCAGGTGAAGGACGGTGCCAGCAGCGAATACTACAATCTTAACGCATCTTAATGCCTAGCAACGCTTCGTACATCTTTTTCGTTTGCAATGCTTCGCAGTGCGCACTGTGAGCCGATAGACATGGCAGAGTGCAATGGTTAGGCTGATGAAGAAGTGCGGGGCTTTGCTGGCCTTGCCTGTGACGATCCGTTCATGTTCTGAAGATGACTGTCAAAGCTTACAGTCTATAGAGGCGGCGTGCTTTGACACAGAAGAACATGCCATTGTTGACCGCATCGAGGACTCCCGGAAAACGGCTGGCAAGGGCCGCCGCGGGCCCTTCTTTGTCGCAACCTTCGTTGACGTGGCAATTGTTGCGATGGATGGGGAAGAGCTGGTTGCAGGCTACTGTGCGTGGACCTGCGAACCCTTCGGCACTTCTGACACCTGCATTCATGTCATGAATTTGGCAGTAGCAGAGAAATTCAGGACTGGGCTTACAGTGGACACAGATTCAACTCATGCACAGTAACGTGCGCGAAGCATGTCCAATTGTGATTTTCCTTGATTCACCGATAGATTCCATTTCAGCCAAGCGTCATGTTTCTTGGTGCTTGTACTACCCGTGCGATTCCGTAGGAGAAGTGGTGTTGCCAGTGCATTGCTGAAGCACGTGGAGGAGACCGCCTTGGAGAAGATTCCCACCATTAACTTGGAAGATTTTGAAGGAATAATGGAACGCTAAGTCGCTACGTACTAGTAACTAGCTCCTGGCCGTAGTACTAGTAACAAGAAGCGGCTAGTACAAAGGGCATCGCTACTAGGAGCAAGGACGCCACTAGAACCCAAAGGACCCAAAGGAGCAGTCAGCCAAAGAATTGTGTCTTTTCATGCGGGCCCGGGCCTGGCCATCTGAAAAGGCTAATCTCCCCAAGCATTGCCGCCGCTGAATGCATATTTTCTTTGAAGGTTTGCAATGAATGCTTCTCAAAGGGTTGCGGGCACGTTGGGTGAACTAGCTTCATGCCCATTGTAGTTTTGCCTTTTGCCGTCACCCGCACTGTCAATTGTACATTGTGCCTTTCCCTAGTTTTGCAGCCACATTGACATGTTCTTCTGATTTGTCAATTTAGTGCAACTCAAGGTTTCCATGTGCTGCCCTTGCCCGTCTTCTGGTTCGTTCAGACAACATTGTGGCACAGCAGATGTATGCAACCCACTTGCAGGTGGTGCCAGCATTGGCAATGCTGCACCCAACTCTAAGAAATGCTTCAAGACTTGCAGATGGGGGGTTTGAGGAAGTGGAGATGCAAAGACATGAGATACGATTGATTTCGTTGGGGCTTTAGGTATCCAGGGGCTTCATGGTCAGCACACCGCTGCAGCACAGTAGCTGAGGCATCCTTTGGTTTCAGTGAGATCGAACGAATCCCAGAGTATTATGGGTCGCTTGATGCCCTTGAGCTTCGCAAGGCCTTGGATCTACCCAAACGCGGAAAGCTCCGAAAAAGGAAAGGCTAATGTCCTGCTCCTTTCCGGGCTGCTGAAGCTCTGGCCCGATGGCCTTCCTTGCTGAACAGGGCCGGAGGTGGCCAGATGGCTCAGTGGCTCGATTTTGCCTCAGCAATTACGGTTCCGGTGAAGAGGCCCAGCTTGCAGATCACCTCATGGCTTTCAGACACGATTTGGTGCTTGCTGCCATGGTTCACGATGAACACATAAGCGCAAAGCGGCACGGATCCCAGAGGAAAAACAGGTAATTGTCCAATTGATTTGCCGACAGAAATCTGTTGCACTAACCAGGATAATTCACATTCACATCCCCTATCGCACCCAACGCATTTCTACGCACTTTTTGTTACTCTTACCAGTCGTAGAACACCGCAGGTATTTTATTTGGCAGGCACAAGGTCCACATGAAATGATGCCAGCGGCCAGCTTTTTTGGAAGTGATGGCAGGCCGTGGTTTTGGAGACGCCACAAGACCATTTGCCTCCATTTTGGAGCCAGGCCGTGAACTAAGCTCACCAAGCGCAGCCCTACATGCCCCAAGGGAAATATGAAAATCGGAAATGCCAGAGTCACCAGAGCTTTCGCCTATGCCGGCTCAAGCACTCCTGACATGTCAGGAGGCCCTCCTGGTGGTGTAGATGCTCCCCCTTTAAATAAGGTCTCTTGATGGCCCTTGCATACCTTTTGACAATTCTTTTGTTTTTTGATTGTCTGACCAAATCAGCACCAGTGCCTCACCTCATGCCAAGGCGGTGAGCGGGAACCCCTACAGCGACCCTTTGGATCCCAATGAGACATTGCCGCCGGTAACAGAGCCGCAAAGAAGAATCCTGCACAGAGTGAGGCCAGGTGCGGAGCGGAGCGGCGCGGAGGTCAAGGTTTGGGGGGAATTTGGAGCCTTGAATGGTTGTTGGCCAGATTGTTTTTGCCCGTAGGCATGGCCGATGTTGATGCTGAATGATTGATGCTGAAGCAGTCAGACAGTCTTGAAACGTCTTGCAAGGCGTGACCCCATAGCCAGCAGGCCAGGAGCTCACTTCAGCTCGGGTAGTCAGCACCTGCTCCAACATGTTGCAACCAGAACCTGCCAGGCCAGAGCTGGAATCACAGGACACTGCTAAAACATGCGGACTCGTCGCTTTTCTGTCCTACCTTTTTCCTTTGAAACGGCAACAACGGGGCTGAGTTGCTTGCCCAATGTTCTCAACCCTGTCGATATGATTTTATTTGTACCGCTGGTACTCCAGCCCTGCCGACAAGGAGCAAGTGACAGGGCTGGCACTTGTAGTCTTATAGTTGCCGTGGAAGAGCGGCTATCAGAGCACAGTTCAGAGCACATCCCTTCTGCGCCTTCTGTCTCTTCATGCGCAGTTTTTCGGATGGCCTTGCGTTGCAGGAGTCTGAGACTTCCAAGTGCCTACAGGATTTGAATGAATCTCAGAAACATGCAGGAGCCTCAAGAATTGGACGGACTGAGACAACTTAGATCCCTTAAGTCTCAAACAAGCGCAGTTTGCTGTCTCAAACGGCAACACCGCAATGCATTTAATAATCATTCATCAATGTCATGCTGACTTGTGGCAGCGGCTTTCTGATTGATAACAAATCTCGACCGAGGGTGCACCCACGTTTATATTTGGGCTTGGTCCTTCGCAAATAGAAATATATAGATTATTTTAAAAAATGTAAACATAATAAGGGTGTTTTGTATTGGTGGAAGCTGGCCTGCCAGAAAGAGCCCGAGGCATGCACTGAAGCCTTATCTTTAGAGACTGGTGTGCGGGGCCCTGGTGGGCACGGGAATGGATCGGTACAGTACGCCAGCTCGGCACTTGCTTATATGTGTTTTGGGGCCTCGCTCATACCGAAACATTATTATAGAATAATTTGGACGCTTGTAGAATGTTGTTTCGTTCTTTTCGACTTGGTGCGGTTTCTAGTTTGGCTACCGCAGTGCGTCACGCCTCCAACGGAGGTCCTGTGCTAGCATTTCAGAAGGGGAGAGGGCAGCCATAGACCGACTGACAACAATGCGTGTAGCGATGCGATGCTACGCCTTCCGTTGCTAAGGTGGTGCTTGTTCAAGGTCCACCAGGCCGGGTTGGAGCACACAGGATTCCGTCAGACGACAATCATCAATGAGGTGGGTGAAGTGGTTGGTTTGGCATGATTCCGCCCACCAGCTGGAGTTCTATGTTTAATGATGTAATTACCTACCTTGGCCATCCTTAGCCATCGCACTCGTGTATCTGCATGAGACCACAACAACAAAAAAAACAGTGTGCCGGTGCATGTGCAGACGTGCGTCAAAACGCGGCATATTCTACACCAGTTTTGGGCATGTTTTCCTGGCTATTAAACAGCAAGTGGAAGCTATTTGTGTTTGAGCCGCGGCCACGTGCAATACGCTAGGAGTTACGCTAGGCCATCTTTGGATTTCAAAAGGTGTTCAAAAAAGGATGCATGAAATTGAAAATCTGCTTTTCAGCGTCACTAATTAGGTATGCGCATACCTGTACCCTTGAGAGACACTTCTTTTTTCAAGTGAAGTAAGTTTTGGGGATTAACTCAAAAGACCAGTTCAGGGTCTATGTGGGTGCATCTCGCCAAAAACCATTTCGAAGGGAAGAAGAGACCTCCCATCTACTTGCTTCCAAGGTAGAAGCAGCCTTAAACCCCTGCATTTAAACCGCTGAAGGATTTGTCCCAACTGGACGTGCAAGTGTTCTTTCCCAACCAATACCTTCAGGGTCTTCAAGCTCCTGAGAGTCTGCGGGCATCTCAAAATGGCCCCTCTTGATAGCAAAGCTTCATCAAGGGATACGCAACCCCCCATACGGCTTTGAAGTTCTGTCATGGCCTAATTAGAGACTACAGCGTACATTTCCTTGAGCAAGGTTCTTTGAAGTTTAGAGAGGTACAGTAATCATCCACCAAATGCTACAAAACATGACCAAACAAGGGGATGCACTAAAGGATGCATTAACGCACCCGACCCGACCAAAATCTGATGATAACTTATGTCCCACACCCTCAATATCTGACAAGACCTGAGGCCCAATGTCTTTACAAACCCAAAGCCACCAATTCGGTGTCGTTTGGCGTCGGTTAGGCGTTTTTTTGGTGTCGTTTCTTTGGGTGCGCTTTTGGCGCGGAGTCTGTTTTTTGAGTGATGGCATCAGTTCGGCCTTTGTTTTTTAAGTGAAGGCGCATTTTTTCAGGATTTGGCATTTGGTTTTTGCACGGTGGATCAGTATATATAACGATCCTGGAATACTTAGAATTTTGGTAGGTGTCAATTCCGCGGCCCAAAAAAAAATACATAGAATATACCGACCCAAACGGTACATAGAATATTTCAATTCTGAAGATGTTTCTCTGTGCCAAACCGTCGGCCATGTACTTAGAATATGTCACACATGTTTTCAATTCTGAAGATGCTCTTAGGAAACCAAGAGCAAGCATCATTTTCCTTGGCCACCACTGCAGCGGTTGGCACCCTTGGGTGCTTAATTATACTATACACATCAGAACTAGTTACCCTTCGGTATCCGTCACTGTCCGCTTCTGGCAGTCGATGCAAATCTGGAACGCTTGCATCTGTTTGGCCCGATGTTGCCCGAGGCAATTGCGATACAGGTGCACCTGGTGGGAACAATACATGAATCTTTCACAAGCACCTATCCACAGAAAAGACATGGCTAATATCAACAAATCTTGAAAGAGAGTAGTATTTTACTCTTAGGAAATACTCGCCTGCACATTAAACCTTACTAAAAAGAATTCCCGAGTACCTATTAATAAACACTCCCCTGTTAAAAACCCCATGGCACAGCGACATCGCCTTTCGAACGCTTTAGTTGTTAGTCCAATGAAGAATAACTATTTTAATAGAGGCTTTTTGTAAGGGCAAAAGGAAAGACCCTTCGATCTCGAGGTTTTTTTTCAATTTTGATACGAGTTTAATAACTGATTTTATACACAATTTTCCTGGGTGACTTTTTGGTTTTGACGCTCTTCCCAGGTTTTTGTACGAAATCTGCACTTCAAGCTTCACAAAGCGCTGCTCATGCCAGGAAATCTGCATTTCATATGAAATTTAATGATTCAAGGATCCTCCCAGTGACCCTATGTTGGACAACTCCCCATTTTCAGGGACCCCCTATTTAACAAAAATGCACCCGAGTGTTTGTTCATAGGGGAGGGGTTGCCCCATGTATGTATATATATATATTAATAGGTGGAAGGGATTTTTGATTTCAATAGACGTTCTGCAAATCTTGCACACGTGGGTACCAAATGCTTTTGAAATCTGGCAACATTGTTTTAATTCTTTACTCAATATCAAGTGTCTAAATTCTAAAGGGTTCCTTCAAACCTGGGTCCTAACAGCAAAAGACTCCAAATCTGGCTGCCCGTATTCCTTAGGAGGAGGCTTCACAAAACTGCAATAGTCTCCCACTGTGAAGAAAGTACATAGAATATGTGTGCAATTTGATTATGTCAACCCTTCCTTTGTGACACGTTCTTATTTGAACCTGCTAGACCTTGTGTCGTGGTCCGGGCAGCATGTAGAGCTCCTCCACGTCAGATGAAATGCTCCTTGTGCACTGGTGTACCTTGCCTTTCTCCGTCTTGCCTATTGACAAAGGCTTTGATGCCACCCCAACACCCATGGCTGCGCGCAAAGCTCCCCAAGCACGCCAAGCATCCCGAACCAGGCTTACCAGGAGGTAGACCATGATGACATCAGAGAAAGCAAAGACCATGGTCAGAGTGACGGTCGGAACTTGCAACTGCTTCACTGTTTGACCAAGCTTTGCAGCAACATGCACCTTCTGTAAAACAAGCACCAAATCCACGACTTGCCAGCCCACCACTATTGAAAACAAAGTGTCCGCTGAAAGTTTTATCTTTCTACATGTCACAAGATGCTTCCCATTCAGCAACCCAAAACAGGACTGCAACTTTGCCTTGTCCCTCTGCGTGCACGGTACATGGAATATCCTGAAACATGCGTGTCTTTACAGGCTGTGATGAGCACAAAACTTTTTTTCTCATTGTTTCTACCACTTGTCCCAAAAGACTTCCACTCTTTGTAGTGAGACGTTCCCAAGCAAAGGAGCCCTTGCAGTGTGGCTTGTTGATCAACGAGCCTGCATTTCTGCGCACATGCCGTTGCAACATACATAATTGCAATTGTGTTTCGATCTCTCTCTCTCTATAAATGCACATATATATATATATATGTATATGGAAACCTGTCTCAAGATATGGAAACTTCCACATCATGTTGCTACCATGCACTGCAACATGCCGTATGTGTCCAAGATGTTTTTTCTAGTGGCTTATGCGCATGGCCATTCAAAAGTGCAAAGGTCTCCGTGACGTTGAATTCAGTTCACATGCAGGTGTTTGTTCAAGCAGCAGCCCTTGGCCAAGGGGTTGATTATACTTGGAATATCCCTTTGAGCTTCAACCTGAATCTGGGAACCGAACTAGAGCTGTTTCAGGATGCGTATATATAATATAATATCTTAGTAGCCCTGACCTTTAGTGATCTACTGCCAAGCCATTCTTGCACGTTGTGTGCGATAAATTTGAGTGCTGAGGTTGCAGTCCCACATGCAATCCATTCTGTATCAGATCACAAAACCTTGGAATGACTCTACAAAGCTTTATGAAGCATGACTGCAATCTCTGCTCGCCTACTCCTGCGCGTGGCAACTGCTCGGAACATAGGAAGCCTTCGGACAATCTGACTTCTCAGAGTCCACAACGATTCCACCTAAGTCAACAAATTCTTCTTCGTTATCAGACAATTCCTCACCATCTGGTGATGTCTCCATTTCTTTGACATCTCCTGGGCTCAGCTTTGCAGAGCTCACAAGGTCTTCAGGAAGTCCATCCACCGAAGGAGGTGCCTGGTGTAAAGAGCAAAGGCAAACAAAAGTAAAGTTTTGCTTTCACAGGCTGATTCTACATATATATATAATATATGTACTCATATATGTACTCTATGACATTGTGACATTCTGTTTGGTTGTTGGGTACTGTGCTAAATATCAAAGCACGCTCGGAACATCAAACGTCCATATTCTATGTACATTTCCCCCCACAACAACAAAAAAATATACCACCCATTCTGCATTGAAAGAATGAACAACTCCTGAAATTCAAGACCTTTCTTGCCCAATTGGTTGCACCTGGCCTCTTGAATCTCGAATTGTCTGATAAACAAATGGTAGAATGGGCCCTGTCCAAAGCGCAGTGCCAGATGTGCTGGGTCAAGCGACATTTTGAGCTCCAGCACCATGCAGCGCTGCAATGTTGCGCCTGTAGCTGCGGATGGCTTCACGACCTGTTGCTTGCCCACCATGTCAAGGACAACCTTGCGGTATGGTGCATCCACAAAAGACTGGTACGCCTTGGCTGACTTGGGTGGGAGGGTCTTGCCCAGTTTGGCCCTGGCTGCCAAGGCTGCATCCCATTTGCGTCTTGACTCAACCCAGTAAGACATGGTGACTTCAATGGGAGCGTTGAACCAACGTGGAAGCTGTAGCGGATCTGCAGTCTCCATTTTGACATACCATGCATGAATATGCTCCCCCTTCATTGGGGCCGCTGCCTTCTCCCATGCCAATCTGTAGGCACCTCACTCACAACACTACCAGAAACTCAATGTGAACATACTGAATATATACCCCTCAGTCACAGCATATTCTATGTACTTGTTGTCCAGGGGGGGGGCTACCTTTAGGTGCAGAGAGGAAAAGTGTGAGACAACAATAAACATATATATATAATAAAATTTGCTATTTGCAAGAAAAAAGTACACAGAGCACCCGGTGAGTTACTCTTCATTTTTGGTTTACTTCTTTTAGTCATTACCCTTTCCGATTTTAATCGAGTTACTCTTGTCGAGAGAGGGAAGTTGGTTCATCCTCAAAAGCTCCTGGTAGCTACCTCTGGCAACCTTCATGTATTCTGCGAGCTTCTCCAGGTCACCCTCGAAGTACCAGTTTGCAGCAGTTTGCTCCGTGAGGAAGCCACGCGAAAGCCATGCCCAAAGGATCACTTTGCCTTGTTTGTACTCCTGCAGCTTTGTGAAAGCAAAGGCATCTGCTGCTAGGCTGGTTCTCAAAGGGTAAGAAATCATTGGTATTGCCCCGGGGGCAATCTCTTGCTCTTCAACCTCTTTCTGGTACAAAGGGTTCAGAGGTAAAGACAAGCTGCACCTGAGGTATGCCATACGAATCATGTGCCAGTGCCCCTGCCAACCATCGTTTGGTGAAGAGCTGAGGCCCCAGCCTCCGGGCACCTGGTAGTCTGAAGTAGCATCTGCTCCTACCAAAAGGACGTTGTTCTCAACAGCCCACTGTTTGCGAAGAGTGAGAAAGGTTTGGCTCACATGGCTTGTGCATCTATCGCAAATAAGCATAGGTTTGGAAGTTGAGTCAAGGCCAAACCTGGCTCGCTGCTTCCGCACCTCCATGGTCATGTGTTCCAAAAATCGAACAGTCGTTGCTCCATTCCACATATGACTGTCACTGCCACTTGTGGTCACGACCAAGATTCCAGCATGCTCTTTATTGAGCTCATTGATCTCCTCTTGGGACACACTGTTCTCAGGAATTGTCACATAGCCAAAACCTACATGACCAGTGATCCAACTGACAGTCGTAGTGGTACGCGGTGCCCTGAAGGCAGCTCAAGCAGAAGGATTCGCTTCAGAAAAGGAATTGTTAGACAATATGTGTGAGAAAAGTTCTGTCAAAAAACTAGGGGGTTAATATCCCAAACCCTGACATACTGGCAATGTCCTAATCCTATGCTATCTATCCTATGATCAGTCATATTCTATGTACATACTCCAGCATGGTAGCATATAGGTTGGAGGTCTTTAAAGATGCTAGGGTAAAAAACAAAACCGTGGGAACTGATTAACTCTTCTTTGCATGGAAATCAAGGAAAATGTCTGAGCTAACATCAATTGAGATTCCGCCATTGGTTCACGCAAGTCACCCCACCAGTGCCACGGATGTCAGCAAGCTTGTTCTGCCACTTAGAGTTCCGTTGATGTTGAGGCATCTCAATCGTATCTCCAAAGTGCTCGTCGAGCGCTTCACGGATCACCTGTCTTTGGGGGTACTTTGTGAGGGGATCCTTGGCACCAGGATCTGTTGTCTTACTCAAAGTTTTTCTCATGGGCTCGAACAGGCACGTCCACACCTGATCCCAGTTCCCCACCAACCGGTTGTCCACATGGCCCTGCTGGATGTTGGAGCAGATCCAGTCATTCACATGCTGAACTGCAGGGTGACTGCGCGGCAAGTGCCTTGTTGGCTTGTCCTGCTTGAACATGGAGAAACCATATTTGTCGGCAAAGGAGAGCGCTGCCTGGTTCAAAGCGCGCTGGGACTCAGCCAGCTTCACAGGATGGGGCCAGCTTGCCCTCAGGGCAGCTTGGCGAGCAGAGAGCTGCTGAATTTCTTCCTCTGATCCTCCACCTTCAGCTAGGCGATTCAATTAGGCCAAGTCAGCATCTTCCCTGTCTTTTCTGTAGCTCTCAACTTGTTTGTTGTAGGCATCCAGCGCGTCAGCAAGCACCAACTCAATGCTTGCAACATTCAACTCAAACCCATCCTCCGCTGCATTCTGAAGAATGCGGTCCACCACGTTGTAGATTTCTGTGGTGATCTTACTGTGGCCCGGACCCTTGCAGGTGGAGATGTTCACTTGTTCTCTGAGCCAATTCGGAGGTTCATCATAGCGGTTGGCAATGGAAGGACATTTCTCCATGAGCAAATCCCAGCTGTACTTTTCACGTGACTTGTTCCATTTTGAAGCTGCACCCTGGTAATAGCCTGGCCTTTTCCTCGCCAATAGTTCCTGTGAGGGTGGAAAGACGCACATTCTATGTTGTTTTCCCCCAACCTGGCAGTTTGTACCAGCCTAGCCAACACAGATTGAAAGACCTTCTAGAAATTGCTTGAAGAGGCTGATGAGTGGAACTGGACACATGCATGAAAACTGAAGGAAGAATGGACATGGGTTGTATATTGGCATATTCCATCTACTCTTCCCCCAATGAAACCCTGTACAGTCCTTCTCCTGATGCTTGCAAGTCTTTTGCAACTCTTCATACTCCTTCAGAATCTCCATCTTCTTTCCAATGGTCAAAACGCTGCCCTTCATGTTGTGCCCCTGCTTGGTCTTCTTTTGTTTTTCCTGCAATGGAGGGTTTCCCGGCTCATCTGGCTCGTCTGGAGTCGGCCTCTTCTGGCCTCTCTTCTGAGTTTTTTGCTTCTTGCCGCTGGTGGAACACCCTTCACCTGGAGTTGGTGCATCTCTCTTGCTTTTCTTGGATTGGTTCATGCATTCATGCAAGATCCCTTCGCTTGACAAAGGTGTGCACTTTGCCAGCTGCCTCCACGCATTAGCATTGACCATGGTGCACAAGACCTTTGCAACCAATGCACTTGTGGAAAAAGCATGTCCAGCAAAATCATGGGCCTGAGAACTAGTCAAATCCTGCAGTGCACTTGGGTTTGGCAGCTCTTGAGCAAAAACTCCATGAGCTTTGAGCATCTCTTGAGGGTCAACATAGCGCTTGGGGCCAAATGCCCAGATTCGATGGCTGGGTCTGATGCAAGTGAGCATATCAATAGCAAATTCTGGCTTGCGGCTCCTACTGGTGGATGTGTCAAAGGTTGCACTGGAAAGACTCACCCTCCGAGACTCACATGCCGCTTTGATTGATTGAAAATGCTTTTGCACCGTTTCCCCAGTTGGTTCATCCTCCTCTGGAAGATCATCTCTCAAAATGGAACGAAGTGGAAATCGCTGGGTGGATTGCACGCGTTGTAGTGTCAATCTCATTCTCAATGGGTAAGTATCCTTGTCCTCCCCAAGGCAACTGCTGCCCCAGACTCTCTCACGCCGCTGGGGCATGAGGAAACTGCAGGAGTCAGCTTTGGTGTACTCGAAAACATGATTGAACTGGGCGAAGTCCTTGGCATCCGGAAGGGGTACAGAAAAAACTCTGTGACCTGAATGACTAGAATGCTCTTACTCCCTGGTTGCCAAAGTACATGGAATATCCACAACACAACTAGGAAACACACACACACACATGAGGTTTTATGTAAAACTTATATATATATATACATATAACAGATTAACATAATACAAATACACATCTATGAACAAAACTCTCGCATACAACACTTGTATGTCATCCCTTCTCATGTTGATCCTGTTCTTTGCTCAAAGTAACCCGCAAAACACAGCTGAGAATCCTCTTTGACAATGTCCACAGCAGGCTTTTGCTTGACACCACTTTCATCTGTGAGGGAGTGAGCCGCATCCCGAACGTTTTCGTAGATTGTCACTGAAGCTTGAGTCTGGATGGTTGCCTGTTTGTAGCCATACTCATATGTGACCCCGGACTCACAGTCTACTCCACCTTCATAGCATGATGCAAATCCTTCTCGGTCAATCCGTTGGCCCGACAAATTCACACACGACGGGCTGGAGATCAACAGAAAGACTGAAGGGATCTTCACTGTTCGCTGCTCACGCAAGCAAAATGCATGCTTTTCCTTGAAGCACTTCACATCTGCAAACAAATGGCGAATTTGGTCTCCATGGGCATCTAGAATGAACTGCTGTTTCCAAGGTTCAATTTCAACAGCAAACTCGCAGCTTGCTTGCACGTCTGTGTTGAAGCGCTGATTGATCGCTTGGAAAAGTGCCTTGACGCAATGGCCAGCTGTGGCTAGACCGCTGCATGTTGATGCCACGGGGACACTTCTCCCGTTCAATCCATGAGCTATGGCCTCCAGCTGTTGGTATTCATGCGCAGAAAGCCGATCGATGAAGTAGTGCGATATTTGCACCAAAGACAAGCTCGGCATATTGCCCTTCAGCCATGTTGCTGGAAGAGGCAACCTTGGAAACTGCACAGTCAGCAAAAACTCGTTGTCACATATGTGTATATATATATATATAAATATATACATATATATATATACATAGACTATATAGACTATGTTGAACACATAATATATTCTATGTACTTGGTCCCCTAAGAAATCATGTTACCACTATGACAATGAGAGGATGTCTAAAGCTGAAAAACACTGGCAGGCAGCGAGTCTTGCAAAATGTCCACGCTGTCCACATAGCATACCTTTGGTAGATTCTTGCGGTCCTAGGTTCAGAAGGACCATAGTTCAAGCCGGCTTCTAAACAATCCTTGCCATCAATTACTAACTGTTTCAGAGGCACCAATTATTTTTGTGTCTCTATACGTCTCTATCTCTCTCTCTATATATATGTATCTATCTATCGACCCCTCCATCCCTCCCTCCCTCCCTGCATCCATCCATCCATCCCTCCATCCATCCATCCATCCATCCATCCATCATATATGATACAGATGAATAGACGATTGGTTGTATAGGTTGTCATTACTCCATATTCTATGTATATGAAACTGCAGCTGTCAAATTGCTTTTTGCTGTTCTGTCAAATTAGTCGGCCCTAAAAAAAAGTAATAGGATTTGGCCAATTCCTGGATTTATTGTGACAAAGCGTCAGTCTTCCATGTGAATGGAGGGTTGAGGTGCTGCTGGTCCTTGATAATCCATGCCTGAAGTCGCTTCCCTTCTTTCAGTGCCAGCATGTGCCGAGATGTAGGTTCCAAACCGTGGATGTAGCCTTCTCGCTCCAATTTGCGCAAGGCTGGCAAACTCTTGATCTCCTGCACCTGGACAATATCCACCGTGCCCAGGAGAAATGCCGATCCGGACTGATGGAATGCAAGATATGCCACCCCGCATTTGTCTGGCTTGTAGCTTTGCAGCAGCAAAGACAGATCACCTTCAAGAATTTTGTTTGCATCTCGCATGTTCACGGACAGGACAGTGAGTCTTTTTGGCAATGTGTGTTGCCTCACATCTGGTTTTTGATCTGGTTTCTGCATCTGAAAGTCCTTCCACACTGCACTCCAAGTCTCCGGATCCATGTTTTGGATCTTCTGGCATCCTTTTCGGATCTTAATGGGAATGCCTTGCTCATATCTGTAGGGCTCCTCTAGGAACCAGGCATACATGCGATTCCACCCCTGAGCCAGCACCTTAAGAGTTTCTGCTGGGACTCTGTGCTTGAGCATGTTCTCGGGCCGTAGTGGGCTAAGATTCTGCGCCTGTTCCGAGGTGTCGTAGGACTCCCATTCTCCATCATCACTGCGCAAGGCAATCAAAGAGCAGCCTGTGACTGCAACCTCTCCGCACAAGGTGGAGTCGTGCCACAAGCCGATCTTCCCTTTAAAGGACCACGGCTGATTCCTGAGCTCCCATGTCTTGAGGCCCTGATATATCGAGTCTTGCCAGTGGGCGTGAATGTGCAGGACCTTGCTGAGTTTCTGTAGAGATACCAGGGTCGGAACTTGCACACGCTCAGCTCCACCAACCTCAATGGCCCCACCGCAGGGGAGCAAGTACTTGGAATATTGCTTTGAGCCCATAACTCAAATTAAAATATCTCTCCAACGTTGTGCACGTGCATATCTATATGTATATATATATAGATCAGTAGAGTAATACTCATACCGGTAGCAAGGGGGGACCTTAAACAGGCCAAAGGCGGAACTGCCCCTTTGCCACCAAAGCCACCGTGTTCTGATCTGGCAATCCATCACCAGAGCCAACACTGTCCACATCAGGAGCGCTTCGCCCACTCACAGCAGCCTCCGTCGAAGAACAGGTCTCCGGGCTGCCAGCTGTCACCGGATCTTCCAACTCGTCACTGGAAGCAAATTTCAATCTTTCAGCCTGAGCTGCTTGTAAGAGAGGAATGAGCACAAAACACAGGATAACAAATACGATGCAATGTTACAGGGGAAAAGATGGGCACAATTTGCACCTGGTGTGAATGCAGAGGCAGGAGCTTACACATGCACTGGTGAATTATTTTGCTTCAATTGCTTAAGGAACCAAAATGCTTAAAGTATGAAACAGTGTGTATATATATGTTATATATATATGTAGCGTATATATATATATATGTATAGCTATTTATTTAGTACCTTTTTTGGAGGGCAAGCGGCGGAAGAGTGCTCAGCAACAAAGCCTGGGTCAATGCCTTGGAAGTACTTCATGTAGCCCCCCCACGAAGAAGACGAAGTAGAGGCCTCCTCGCAGCGGGTGAATGTGGACTTGATGGGTCCAATATACACTGCACAAAAAGCTATGTGTGTATATATATATATGGAATCCCCAACCAACCTTTTTCAATTGGTGTGCCTCCCCAAACTGCAATCAACTACAGTATATAGTGTTTGCTTTCCATATTCCAAGTACCTTTTGAACCAAGGGTATGAAGTCTGAGATGGTTGACTGAACCACAAGATTCCGAATAATTATGCCAGCATAGACCCCTAGGTTCTTTTGTTTTGTGCACTTCCTTGAATTCCAATGTTGGTGGAAACGCCTGCAAGTATGTTCCTATAGCCTTCAGCTCTTTGGGAAAAGAATGTAAACAAAATGCATTTTCTTGGAGGAACAGGATAACATCAAATTTGAAACGCTGCATCACTGTTGCAACTATAGCCAAAACAAATATAAATATATATATATATACAAATCCGAACAAAGCGGTGGATAGTTTTTCCTAAGAGCCTACAAGAGAACCCCAACACTACTGTAAACTGTTTAGGAAAAGCAATGCGACACACCTGTCAAGGTCGAGAGTCCGGAGCTTCCAAAGGAACTGGTTGAACATTGGCCTGGTCAGCTGCATCTCTCTGGCATGCCTGATTTGACATGAATCCAGCCAGCTGCTTCAAAACCTCTTTCATCTGGTGGGGATCACGTAGTAGAGCTTCCGCTCCAGCATTCCCAGGACATGCCTGAGGACAAAAATCTCAACCAGCTGCCCAAAAATCTGTGAGAAACGGTGGGGATGTGACAGTGAATTGTATTCCTTCCAAAATGCTGAGAAGTTGCTTTTGCTTACCAACCACCTTTTGCCAAAGGTATTGTACCAACTCTGAAATGCGGCCAATCTACCAGAGTCGTTGAAGGAAGTGGTTCATCATCGGCTCCAGCTTTCTCAGTACTGGCCTAAGCGGATAAATTTTAATCAGCTGGCCCAAGGACGCTGTAGTGAATCACATTCTCCGAACACCACATATATATATATATATTGTATGTGTGTGTTTGAAGAATGTCCTCAGGTAATGTTTGCTTCTCATATTCCAAGTACCCTGTGCACCATGGGTATGACTGAAATGGACTTACGAAACAACAAACTTCCAAAAGTCCGATTTCCCAACGGCTCCCTCTCCAGATCGAGGGTCCTGAGCTGGCAAAGGAACTTGTCTGTCATGAGCCTGATCAGCTCCAGGGTTGTTGCAACATGCCTGAGCGGATCAGAACCCAACCAGCTCCTTAAAACATCTTCGGTGTTTCAATCGGTAGGGCTCCATACTGCCAAATGTGGTTTTAGCTTATTGAAAGGTATCAACTCTGAAATGCAGCCACCACACCACCGGAGTCTGCAGAGT